GCTGACAGCTGATTGGCTGCTGTGAGAGGACGTCATGCCTCCTTCATGTATAAATATCTCGCATCGCTCTGACTTAGTGCTCAAGGATAATGCTCTATGCCTCCCTTGCAGCACATATTACAAGATACGACAACGCAAGGAATATCATGACATGGGATCCACAAATTGAAATCGGCTCAGTTAAAAAATCAGAAATGAAATTAATAATTTCAAAGAAGAAATTTGGACTGAAATACTCAACAATCTTAATGCACAGGACGGTTCACTATGGAAAATAGTTAAAAATTTTAAAAATTCTTACGCTACAAATAGACCTATCATTCACAATGGGAACCCAGCTATTATGAACCAGGAAAAAGCTGATTCTTTTGCCTCACATCTGGGGAGCAGTTCTCTCCTAATTTATCACCATGTGACTTAAATTTTGAACAAGCATCCCTTACTAAAATCCAAGATTGGCTTAATTCTCCCACTGTCAAGAACCTGATCTCACTAACTACTCTGGCAGAAGTCTCCATTATCATTAAAAAGCTCAAACCTAGAAAAGCCCCTGGAATCGACAGAATCACAAATAAATCTATCAAATTCTTGCCACCTAATTTCATCTGTAAAATCACCAGCATTTTTAATGCATCACTTACAACTGCTACTTTCCCACTGCATGGAAGACAGCGAAGATTATCATGATCCCGAAACCGGGGAAAAACCATACTCAAACAGACGGATATAGACTGCTCCCAGTTCTCAGTAAAATTTTCGAAAGAATAATCCTCACAAGATTACAGCACCATCTCAACGCACTCCTTCCTGAGCAATTCGGTTTCCATTGAAGGTTATTCACGACGAAACAGCTTGTCCGCATCACATAATTTGCTGGTACAGCGCTGCACAATAGATTAAATGTGGCTATCCTCATATTAGATGTGGCGAAAGCCTTCGACCATGTCTGGCATTAGGATTTAATCATCAAGCTCATGAAATTCAACTTCGAAACTGAACTTCTCCACATACTCTACTCCTTCATTACCCAAAGGACTTTTAAAGTTTGCGTAAACGATGCTTTTTCTGCTGAAAGAAATATCAAAAGTGGCATCCCACAGGGAAGTGTTCTTGTCCCGGTTATGTATCTCTTTTACGCAGTTGATTTTCCTGAAATATATTCTTCAAATTCCATCTTGGCCTGTTATGCAGACGACACGGCAATAGCTGTGAAATCTGCTAACATCAATCACTCAATCAAAGTCCTCCAGAATTTTACCCTGAAAATGGAAACCTGGTGCAGTATGTGGAAGATTAAAATAAATGCCAGCAAATCATGACTCCTTCTGATTAGAAGAAAAAAAGCGGAATTGCCCTGTCACGAATAATTTACTTTTCTTCAACAAAGCAGTTCCCATTGTGCATCAGACAAAATACCTTGGCATCAATCACAATGAATGACAAGCTCACCTGGACCCAGCATATTAGTAATATTAGAAATCAAGCCCTGAAAGTAATCAACTGCCTCCTCCCCATCCTGGGAAAATTTTCAAATCTTGATCTCAACTAAAAGCGACTCATCTGCCTAACTACTGTACGACCTATTCTCACCTATGCATCACCTGCTTAGTATGCGGCCAAGCCAGCCGACATCAACAAGCTTCAGGTGGTTCAAAACAAATTTCTCCATATTGCTATGAATGCTCCTTACTACGTAAGGAACTCTGTGCTTCACAGTGATCTTCGAATTGAACCCTTCAGTCTCCATAGGAGAAATGAAAACTTCTACCATAAAGCTCTCGATTGTGAACACTTAAATTATTTCAAGATCTTCAACTATGTCATCCTCCCAGAGGATCAATATCTGCGACCTTTCGCAGCTTCTTATTTAAATTCTGACCAAAACTACCCATCATAGATTGTGCTTCTAAAACCAAGCAGCATTCACCGGAGCCACAGCTCGGGAGGGTGACCTCCCACGTGACTATGGACTTCGTGTTTTCTTCATCTCTCTGCTGCTTATCTTATACCTGCAAGCCATTCTATGTTTTCTTTGTATATACCTGTAAATATTTATTGCTGTTTAATCTCTGATGAATTTTTCAAGTATGAAAACCTTTTTTGCATTTAAAATACATCTACATGCATTAGTTCCTTTTATCTGGGCGTGCCTACGGCTGATGAACTTTAACTACTAAGCTCCGCCCATCGCTCAATTTGAAAATCACAGCTTTTTTATGAACTCTGTGTGTACAATTATCGCAGTATTCACTTACCAGGACTATTACAATTATGAAAAAAAAAAATATGTTTTCATATTTCTACACGGCAGATAATTAAAAAAAATTACTATGTTTTCTGCCCTAGCCAATGACATGTACTCTTGGACATCACATGACATGGCTCTACTTTGGACTATCTTCTCTATGTAAATGTAAATACTTGAACATCTTACATTTATTCAAGACTCTTTATCTGGTACTTTTGTTTGAAGAACTGTTTTTTGCTATTTAAATTTATGTTAGTAATTTCTTTATGTTTGCATATTCCACTTGTATTTGAATTGCATGTTACACCACCCCATGATGTAATACTCTGCAGTGGCAAAGTGCCACCTTTCTCTTTATTTTTCATATCTTGTCTCTGTGACACCTTCACTGATATTTTTACCTCCAGGATGCCATATTTAAAGACAACTGGAAAAATGCAGAAAAAATCCATGCAGGCTAGGCCCAGTATAACAGCGGTAAATGGAATGGAAATGGCTTAGTCCTTTTTGTTCCTGTTTTTCATTGTTCCTGGTGTGCTGTTCCAGCGCTCATTGGAAGACGTTATTGCGATGCGTGTCGTCCAGCGATAAGTACCGTGGTTCCGGGCCATGTTGGCTTTTCTAAAGTTAAGCGACGTCAAATCTCAAGTTGTGGTTTCCAGTGATCAACTCCAATGGGCGGCATCCTGTTTCCAAGGTTAAGCGACATCAGATTTCAAGTTGTGGTTTCGGGTGAGCAACTGCCATGGGCGGCATCCTGTTCCATGGTTAAGTGGCATCAAATCTCAAGTTGTGGTTTCCAGTGAGCAACTGCTGAAGGCGGCAGCATTAATACAAGTGTTTTTCAGGTCTAGCAGTGATGTTTTTCCAAGCTGTGATTTCCTGTGAGCAACTGCAGTGAGCGGCATTTACCAATTCAAGTGCATTCAAGGTTTAATTTAATTTTTCAGGAGCCTTCTTGGCCAAAAACATAGATCTTTTTAGTCAAGTGAAATTCAAATTAATCGCATAGTTTTGTCTGTGGTTATTCGTGTATTGAATGCCAGTATTCATAGAACAGGTAATATATTTACTGTATCATTAATAGTGTAATATTCTTTAAAGGAAAAACCCTTGGGGTCAATGAATAGTTAACGAAGTGTAATTTTTTTTGACAATGATTATGTTGCACTCTTTAAGTTTCTGTTATTGATCAAATATATTTATTGTATTTTTATTTCTTACATATTGTTATATAATGTTATATATTTATTTCTTACATATTGTAATATATTTCTATACATATTGTTAATAAATTGATTAAGTTTAAAACTATTGTCATCTATGTCTGCACAGTACATAATCTTAGGGAGCTTCTATTGCTATTTCTGCTAAATGTTTTCTATAACTTTAAACTTTTCTTTTTGCATCACATATTTTATATTTACTTTTATTGTGCTTCATCAATTAACTCAAGAAACTTCTTTGTGTTAAATTTTGCGTTTATGACAGGTGTTTATCATTAACTTTTATTCACAGCAACGAGTATTTCTTAAATTTTTTTTTTAGCAAGAAGCATATCTCTTAAGTATATTTTTATATCCATCCCGTTAGAGTCAACGGAATAAAACTAAATATTTTAAAAGATATTTGTTATGTCAAAATCAGTTAAATACATTAGAAGTAGCCAGAACAGTTTGTCTTAAATCTTCCACAAAGTACTCAAAATTTTAACCCTCGTTTTTTAGTTCTCTGAAACTGAAAATTTTATTTTATTGTTTCAATATAAACAATAGAATTATTAAAAACATTTTTCTTACCTTATATCTTTACATTTAAGTTAACAAAGAATGAAGCATTTTTTTAATCTTTCAGCATCTGCTTCAGAATTAACTTTAAACGAAACAGAACAATTCCCATGCAACTTGACTATGAATGCAAGACAAAAATTTCGATTTATGCACCTCCTTTATTGGGAAATTTTATACCTCCTCCCTCCCCCCCCAAAAAAAGAAGAGAGAGAGAGGGAAAAAAGTGCAATTAATAATAATATGGCACATTTCATTTTCAGTCACCTTTGTTTATTCTTCAGATACTATTCTAGAAGGAGTTTATGAAATTGCTAAACTCAGCAGTTTATATCCCTGTCTATTTTCAGTTAGTGGACTTTGGCAAGTTTGTTATGATTAAGTAAAAAGAGCAAAGAACAACTAATGTGGGCAATATAATATTTTCTATGAACTTTTAGTCTGTAACTATTCATTACACAAAGTGTAATTAGTTCCTTATAGCTACTTTCAATAACAAATTTCAAGGTTAGAAAATATTATGTACACTACTGTGAAAGCTCATATCTTTTGAGGATAAATTAATGCTATTAGTTTTTCTTTTTTAACTGGATTGTTTATAACACAAAATTCTTTTACTGTTCACTGATATATTCCAAAATTAAAAGTTAAAAATAATAAATTTAAAAAAAAAATTCTGAATTTTTGATCGAATAGCTAATTTGTAATTTGGCACCCCTTCTATTTGTTCACCTGAGGCAAGTGCCTCACCCTCGTCCTGGCCCTGATGTAAAGATACTCAAGCAAATGTTTCTATCCAAAGTTGGCAACAAGTTCATGACTTTTTGCTGGGGATGCGGATAGTTAGAAAGTATCCCTTTTTAATGCATAATGTATTTTTTAAGCAATAGAGATGTTTCAGTGAAGCATAGAAAGTTTGTTTTTTAAATGATAATATTTTTTTATGATTTCCTTCTTATTATTTTGTTTATTTCTTTTATAGCTCTTAAGAAGAAAAAATGGATGAAAAACAGAAAGCTGCAAATTCATATTCTCTGTTAAGAAAACTGGATGAGAGTAATTCAGCTGGAAAGAAAAAGGTACTTGATATTTTCGTAAATATTAATATTTGGAGAAATCAGTGTTCATTGGTTCCCAAGTTCAATTTTATTATAGAATCAGTTTTTCTGAAACAAAGTTATGCAATTCCAATTGTAATTTTTCTTAATAAAGAAGTGAAGTTTAAGGAAGAATAATTTTAAATTATATAATTTATTCAGCAACTTTAAGAATCACATAAAATAAACCTAACAAATCATTAAAAGGCTTTATTATTCATAACATACATAAAATAAAGTTGTCATTTGTTGTTGTTGCTTGTGCTCACTTGTTTGACGTAGTTAACCCAAGCCCATGAAATTCCTTATGGCAAGGAGCGCTAGAATGTGCCTCCCGTTGGCAACAGCCTTGAGCACCATTCAAGTGACAGTGCGATTTAGTTCAGTTCCACCCCAAAATTTGATGGAGAGCATCCCATGGGGATGGGTCCGAGGGTCTCCCACCCCTCTCCCCTTCCACAACACCACACGAGAGGATATTTTGGCTTGCCGCATATTTATAGTGCCACCATGCCGTACCAACACTATACATTTACAAACATCCATGCCTTTTAAAGGATTTGAACCAGGGCCCTTTGACAGGGCAGTCAGCGACACTAACCACTTCACAGTTTGGGGCAACACATTGTCATTTAATCAATGGTATCGAAATGTTTCTTTAATGGATTTGATAATAAATTGATTATCTTTTCATTATGCTTGGTTGTTGATCAGTTCAAGATTCATTATGCTAAATCAGATTCTCACTTGTGGAAAAATGCATAAATGAAAATTTTTTAGGAAAAATGCGTAAAAAATTTAAACTTTAAAAATGTTGAGGAAAATCAGAAATTTTACCCAGTAAGCCAGGGAAAGGGAGATTAAGTACAAGGTGTCTGAAATGGAAATATCACGTTACCAGATTAGAACCATCATTTACTTCCAGTGCTATAACAAAAAGTCAGAATGCCACCAAATCATGTGTACAGCTTTAAGCACTCATTTTGTATCATATGACACTGTGAAGATATATCAATTAATAAGATAATGAAAAATTCACAGTAAATTAAAAATGTTTTAAATGGTAACTTGCAAACAAAAATTGCCTGTCTTAAAAAGGAATTAAGTAAAGAATTATGATAGTATTGGGTTTTAATGAAAGTTTCTCGTCACCACAAGTAACATCTGGGCTTTGTGTTGGCATGTTTAATCATATTTTGAGAAATAATTTTTGGCATTTGAAAGAAAGATTTGCTGTAGAATGTGGTGTTGTGAAATCTAAAAAAATATCATTAAGTACGAGGTGTTGAAATGGAACGAGTGTTGAAAGTTAAGTACGAGGTGTTGAAATTTTCTGAAATGGAACTATCACGTTACCAGATTAGAACCATCATTTATTTCCAGTGCTGTTACAAAAAGTTAGAATGCCACCAAATCGTGTAAACAGCTCCATTTTGTATCATATTACTTACATTGTGAAGGCTTGGTACCAAAAGTTCAAAAATGAGGACTTTGACAATAAAAAAGCTGGGAGCTCTGGCTGTCCTACTGATGTTAATGAGGAGGGCTGCCTGTGAGAACTTGTGGAAGAAAATCAGTTTGCAACCACTCGTGAGCTTGCTAAGGAGTTAGACGTTAGTGCCATGTCTAATGGTTGCGCTATTTATCGCATAAACTTGACGTGCAAGTTCAATCACTGGATGCCACATGAGATGATGCACAAGCAGATAAGGAAAAACGTATTTGGGCCTCCACTAATTTGCTCGAATATCAACACAAGGACGAAATTATGGACCGGATCTTCACTTGTGATGAAAAGTGGTATTACTTCAACAACACAGGCTGAAAAGAGAGCTGGTTTCTGCCCGGTGAGCTCGTAGGCAGCATTGCAGAGTGCAATTTCAGTAACAAAAAGCTCATGCTTTGTATGTGGTGGGATTGTCGTGGTATTATCCACAAAGAAGTATCTGGAAAAATATAAAGCTGTCAACAGTAAGGTGTACAGTGAGATGCTAGTCCGTGTTGAGGCTGCTATCAAGGTAAAACGTTGAACTTAGTTCTGGCAGGAAAAGGTAATGTTCCATCAAGATAATGCAAGACCACTTGTGTCTGTATTTACTGGCTGGACTCTGTACAGATTTGAATGGAATCTTTTGCCACACTTACCATATAGCCCCGGCATCGCTCCTTCGCACTTCTACCTTTTTTCACACCTGCAGCCACATCTTGCTGATCCTATCTTCCATTCTGAACAGGACATCAGAAATGAGGTTGATCTGTTTTAGGCTCGTGCCCGCCAAGTTTCTGGGCTGAAGACTGAAAAATTACCAAAATGTTGGCAGAAAATGATACTCTGGTAGTGATTACTACCTGCATTAACGCTGCTGCTTTCATGTTATTATTATTTTTTTTTTTTTCTAAATTTTATCAACATAATTAGCTCAATTCCCCACATGCTGATGAGCTGTTCATTTTTCTTTTTAGATATCTAACTGTGCTATTATTCTTTTTAGATATCTAACTGTTCTATCTTTAAAAGTGTAACAACCATTAAGGAATAAGTGATGCAGTTTAGACATTACTATACTGTGTATAAATTTTTTTGTTGTAATAAATAACTTTATTAACTAAACTCTTTTTTTCAAACTAGTCTAATTTTAAGATCATCTTTTTTTTAAAAAATTGTGATATACGAATAAAATTTACCTTGAATAATGTTCTATTGTTATAACTTTCTCTTGCAAAATGAAGTTTTTCAGAATTGGATATTTCTTTTTAAATACCGTTTTCACTATGTTGAATGGTTTAGATGTATATTTACTGTATTTCTTTCATATGTTTCACAATAACGAAGGATGTAAATTAATTTAGTGATTTCTTTCTTTTGAATGTATAAAAATAATCAGTTACTTACAGCTAATTATTTTTGATCAGGGACGTTTTCCATTTGAAAGTTGTAATTAAATTTGAGTTGTATTATAAAGAAGCCAAATCAAACTGGTAACACCTGATTATTGTGGAAATATAAAAATTCAAATACTATAATTGAGAAGCACTAGATAAAGGATAAGTAAAATAGAATTCTAACTTTATCTTGTGAGCGCCGTATAAGTTATCTGTTTAATTTCCATTCATATTCTAGAAATAATATTATGCTTATAACAAATCTTTTTGAAATAATCGATTTCAAAATTAATCCGTGTCATATGACTGCTGTATAATGCTGCTAACGCATATAATGTACAAAATGCTAAAATTCATTTCAAAAACTTTCAGCCAATAATAATGTTAAAATGTGAAAATCAAAATTTTAATCGCATAAAAAGAAGAACCATAGCTTCACTATTTATTCTTGAATCTAGTCAAGTGTCATAATCTGCACATTTTTAGCTTGCTTGCCAGTGTGCTGTTAACGTCATGTTTGATATTTCTGGTTCTGCTGTCATTTGTATTTCTATGAATGTTTGAAATCTATGTATGCATTGTTTTATTGTTTCAGTCAATGAAGTAGGCTTCAGCAAAAACCTATTCATCATGCATTTACTTTTTCATGCAGCATCTGCATCACCAAAATTTTTTTCATTGCATATATGTATTGTAAATATTGGTATCCAGACGGTGTTCACACATTTTTGTAACAATTTTGCAAAGATTTATATATTAACAAACCTTAGAATTTTATTTTCTATGTTCAGTCTGATAGCCCTTTTGTTGAACTATTATATTACATCTTTATTTCCAAGATAAAAGTCCTTTTCTTAAAAGCATCAGGATTGATGCCCTCCTTCACAATCTTTCACAGTCCATCTAATTTTTTGGGATGCCTCTTATAAAGAGCTTGTTTTAAAAGTACAAATGCACAGTAATCCATAGGAGACACATCAGGGGACTTGGATGGGATGCATTTAAAGGTTCCAGTTCCATTTCTCATTTTTTCAAAAAATAGAGAGTAGATTTAGAGGTATGCTTTGGAGCCTTATCCTGATGGAACTTAACACAGTGAAGATTGTTTGTGTAACGAGATAGAATTTTGTCTTTAAAAATAGGTGCTAAAACATATTTCTGATAGCATTCATAATTAATTTTGACTTTTTTTTTTTTTTTTTTTTTTTTAACTTTCCTTAAAGTTATAAGAAAATCCACTAATAACCATAAAACTTTTAGAAAAACTTTCCTTGTTTTCTCTGAACCAACAAGTCTTTTTCTCGTCTTTTTTGATTTTAAATCGATCTTTTTCTATTTCAATCAGGTAAGTATATCCAAGCCTCGTCAATTGTAACTATATATTTCCATTTTTCACCTGCCAAATAATTTTCATATGGAAATCTGAATGTAGACATGAGATGTGATTTTAGATTTAATAAGAGCTGTATGTGCCTTTGTTGGGTATGCATTTTTTGCCTTTTTCCCAGTCAGAGGTAAACTGATGTTTCCTCTCATATTCATATAAATTATTTTACTTGTAGAAATATTAAAATTATGCTTTTCACATCTTTTTTTAATAACTGAATAAGAGTATTTCTCTTCAGACTGTGCAAAAATCTAGCCTTCAATCCATTGTTTATTTTTCAGCGACCTTTTAAAGAAAAGAATATTTTTAATGCTGCAGACTATAAAACCTTATTTAAGTATGATCCAAGTCACATTTATATTTATTTGATTTAAAATAAATATTTAAATTCATGGAGAAAATCAAAATAGTTACAAAAATGTGTGAATGCCCTCCGTATGTATCATTTTGGGTGTTTACTCTGTCTATTCTAAAAATAGTAATTGCTTATAACAGCTTTCTTTGGATTTCATCATATCTAGATTAATCCATATCATATAATTTTTACTTAATGCTCTGATAAAAACAACTTACCTTCTGCCAGTAATAATTTTGGAAGTTTTATTAATTGTCCAGGTAAATGGTACTGAAACTGAAACTAAGCAATTCTGAATTGAGATTTCTTCCTGAACACAATGCACTTTGCTCCTGTTTCTTGTCTTAGCTAGATTGC